GTGGCAGTTGGTAATCAGAGGCTGATCATGGGGAACAAAGCTGCCATGTCGCCCTCTGCTGGTTGTGTGTGAGCTAAACAAGGATAATTCATAGGTGTTTGTTATAAAGACTACAAAAGCTACATTACATTATTTTCTTTAATGATATGTCTTTAATAGCTTAGTGTATTAATTCCTTTTGCAAAATACCCAATAGTGGTTCTACTTAATAATCTTACTGGAGACAAATTCTTTGTGCGTAACATACTTGGCCAGTAAAAGTGATTATCATTATCATACTTATTAGTCTTAATTTAATACAATTTATATGAATCCAGATCCTTGTTAATTTGGTAAAAAGCAGATGTTCTGTTTACCTCTTGCGGTTAGTTGGTCAGGATACTACAAGTGTAGTATCTTTTTAATTGAAGAAACACAGACAGGATGCTCAACATTATGTTTGACAATAATCAGCTTTTATTTATGTCTCATGAATAAATAAATACATAAACAAATAAATAAATAAACAAACTTCTTTCCTAGGCTGTGCCTATTTTTGTGACTCCGTGCTGGCGATGGCCACAGCTGGAGGCACTATGTTTTCAGGTTGTCCTGGCCATTTTTGTGAATGTGTTATGTCAGGAACACCTTGAGGGAATTTCTTCAAATTTGGCACAAGTGTCCATTTTAATGTGATTATAGTATCTTTCAAAGTATTGTGATATTATAAGTTTGTGTTTATAGAAAAAAAAATGACAGCCTCTGTGGGAATTGGTGCAGTGTGTGTCCCAGCGTCCTTGGTCAGATCCATGGGACTACATTACTTTCACCCTCAGTGTCTGTTTTGACCAGATGGTTGGTTTAAGGTAAAAAAAAAAAAATCTGGCTCAGTGCACATGGCTGAGCAATGGGGAGAATATTGCAACACAGTTTAAAGTTTTTTTTAATTCTAGTTTGCAAATAGTAGCACATTGAATAAAATGTATTTTCAGTAAAGGCACTATAGAACTGGGACTAAAGATGAAAATAATGTTGCTTTAAACTTGGGATAAAAGTTGAAAATCGGTCTGTTGGACACACATTCTGTTTACTGAGTACATGAGAAAACCTGAAAATGTTATTGGTCTACCATCATTTTTCACATTGTAGCTACTTCTGCCTCCAAATGTATGTGGTGTGTGGGGGCTGGGGGGGG